GCGATGCCACTGTGCAGCATGAAGACGACTCCGACTTGCTGACGTCGAATGCCTTTGCTCCTGCCACTCCAATGGGTCACTAAGATTTAATGACGGTCACCAGCCATGCTGCGGTAAAAGCGCGGGCATCTGCAAAACATGTGCGCAGCGACTCCGTCGGCAGGGTGTTTAGGGCAACCACAACAAATGTGACCCTTCGGAAGCTAGGTCATCAACCCCTAAACCCTACACCGTAATCATTCAGGGCCCTCCCTGCCGATGAAGATTGGTATCCGGGGGCGGCGAATCTCAGACGCGTTGACGGAGAGTCTCAGCAGTTTTTGTCGGAAGAAAGAGACTAACATGGCAGCACACCGTGGCTTATTTGGAACATTGAAGTTCGGCCACCCAAGGCGACCCTCAGCCGTGAACCCAAAATCTGCCGGCCACCTCCATTCAAAACACGGCGCGAACTCAAAGCACCCCAAGGCCCTTGGCCCAAGGCTTCAGCAAAAACCTTGTTCTGGCGCTCACACTCGAGGAATTGTGTACACATACGACGGTATACTGCTGTCATATGACATAGAAAAGTAGATTAATTTGCATCTCAAGACGAATGCGGCTGCATCTGGCTCTTTCAGTAGGACTGCGGGACGCCCGGAAGTATTCCTGTCCACTCCTGGTCAGTGGCGTGCTCGTTGAGATCTGCCATATCCGCCCCTGGTTGGCATTCAAAGGTCCCGGCGGAGAGGTCAGAGTTCCGGCGGCTGCCTGGGGCCTCTTCTGATTCTGGCTCTGGCTCCGCTGGCTCCGAGAGCTGGCTTGCCTGCGCGCCTTGCAGCCACTTCGCCTCCGTCCTGCTTCGAATGTTGCGGCTGAGCAACGCCAGGGAAGCCGCCGTGCCGAGGCCAAAGGCAATGAAGAGCGGAAGCACCACCAAATCCTGGAGCAGGCTCATGCCTGTGCTCATGTACCATTGATGGGCGTCTGCAAGGCGCACGTTGGCTAAGAAGGCCATGATGTACAGCAAGCAGAGAACCGAGTAAAGCATCCACACAACCCAGAACGTCCAAGCTCGACACCTCCAAATCCTCAGCTGCCGTGCCTTGGCCTTCCTTGTCCAGTGCTTCTCCGTGGGTTTGCGGTCCTGAACCAAGAACAAGGCGAAGATCACGCAGTCACCCAGGAACGCTGACACCATCCCAACAACGGTGTTCTGCACAAGCCGCGCCAAGAGATCCCTGGCGGGCCGGCAGTTGGGATCGGAGTTTGGGCCCGGCGCGGAGCTGGTGAAGAACAAAGCATTGGTGGCCCCGGCGGTGCAGAGCTTCAAGAAGATCAGAGCCACGCGCACCTTGTAAGTGGTCAGCAGGCTGTGCCGGAGCAGGGCGATCCATGGATGAAAGGCGGGGAAGAGCATTCCAACCCGGACTAACCAGCAGCTTTTCAGAATGCTCTGCACCGCAACGGCGCCGTGGATGTGGACGTTCCACCGGGCGCTGAGGTCTCGCAGTGCCACAGTAAAGTCATCCATGTCGTCGACGACGGAGCGGGCCAAGCGAGAAAAACGGCTGCGTCGCGCTGCCGTTCGGGTCACCTGTTTGGCCACTGCCGGCTCCTCCAACTCAAACTTCTCACCGGGCGGGAGGATGATGTCCAGGCTGTCGGTGGCGACGCCACTGCGGTAGGCGTGAAGGGATCTGATGCAGCGATTCACAGCCACCTCCGGCGCTTTGCACTCCAAGATCAGCGAGGCGATGTCTTGGAGGCCGAAGCAGATCCCTGCGCACCAAAAGGTCCAGTCCTTCGCCTCGGCCAGTCGACGCCAGCAGCAGCTGGAGGCCTCCTCCAGGGAAACCTCGTCTTTAGTAGCTTGCTTAAAGAGCACGGGCTCCAGCTCCTCCCAGGGCACCTTGATCCGACTCTTCCGATCCACGTAGCTGGCCCGTGCGAAAACCAGGCCGAAGAGCACCAGAAAAGTGAATGTCGAGATGGCAGGTAGGGAACCTTGCCAGTGTGTCTTCGAAAGGCCTTCGAGACTCTCCGGAGACAGCAGGTCCCATGAACCGCAAGAGAGCGCCAGGAGCACGTTCTCCCAAATGACCTAGGACACCGCGCTGAACACGGAGAGGTGGACCGTGAGGCAGGTGATCTGCCCTGGGACCGCATCTGGCAACGTCGTGACCCCTCGGGAGGACCAACGGCTCTCTTCCTCGTCCCAGAAGGCGCAGCTGGCCGCAGCACCTATGACGCAACTGTACTCGGAGCTGCTGCGGGACATAGTTACAGTTGTCGAGGTGAGAGTGGCCCAGATGCTCATTTGCTTTACTCAGATTGCCTTTACGGTATTTTCCCACGGCTTTAGGCCATGCTTTCTTACTCCTGTTGGAGTGGGTGCCTTTTTAGTTGGACGACTTCGCAACCGAATCATGCATTCTTTGAATGGCAATGGTAGAGCTCCTCGCTTTGGAAAGGGGTCTGGACGGCAATTTCCGCTGTCTTCTCAGGGCAAGGGTCGTGGACAGCAAGAGCCTCCCGAAGCGGATGCTATGCAGATCTCGGATCCGTGGGCTCAGTACTCAGGTGGAGCCGCCGCTTTGAGCTCCAGTGCGGCTTCCAGCAGTCGCACACCGCTTCAGCAAGGACAAAGCATGTCGTACACCGACAATGTAGAGGACCGTCGATTTCGAGAGTCGGTGCATGCCAGTCTTCCTCAGCATGCCTTGCATCAAAATCGTACCAAGTTAGTTCAAGCGGAGTGGTCGTGCAAGGTGAGAGCAGCCGAAGAGCTGTCGCGACAGGGCGGGATTGCTTTGGTGCCAAAGTCCCTAGTGCCACAGGTGCTAGCGACCGTTGGCACCACCATGCAACCAGTGGCGATGCTGACTTCGCAACCTGCTTGGGAACTACACCTCAAGGGTTACAGCTCCACTCAAGTTACGTGCACACTCCAGACGGTCGGCGAGCAGGGTGCTGTTGTGTACGTGGAAAGCCAGAGATGGTTGACACAGCTAGGCGAAGGCAGGCCGGTGACCATGGAAACCGAGGGTCTGACTGTGGTGGACGAGTGTATCACCATGGCCAAGATGACTTTCACCTTCGACACAACGGAGGGTTGGAAGCACATTCGTGCCGGGAACGTTGCGGATTACCTCCAGCTCTATGTGCCGGCCACCGACTATGGTCAGATCGTTGTGAGAGAGAACGGTTGCACGGCTACCGCGCTTGTTTCCAAGACTTGCGTGGACGACGTTCTACGGGCCAGTGGTTTGCATCACGTCTGGTGCAAACTTCATGCCGACGAGACCGAGCGCAACTTCGAGGTCATCTACTTGCCGTACGGTACCACGTACAAGGTTACGATGGACTTTGTTCAGAGCCTGAAGGAGAAGTGCTTTGGGGCAGTGAAGAAGACCGGTGGCGCCGAGCCGCGTTTCGGCATCCGGTTTGTAGACGAAGGGGCCATGCAGGCCTTTGCTCAGGAGCGAGGGTTGGCAGACCAAGTCAAGCTTGGGCGCTACAAGCTTACCGGAGTGTCACCGCATGTCGGTCACAATGGTTTGAAGCAGATGATGAATTCGGCACTCAAGTGGCAACTTTACGAGGTCCTTTACCTGGCCGAGAACTACGCAGTCGTCTCAGCTGTGACCTGCCCGTCTACCAACAAGATGGCGCTACGCAAGGCTGGAGGGATCAGCACCATCATGCACGTGAAGGCCATGAACAGCCGCGCACGCGATGCATTCAAAGCCGCAAAGATGGAGTACCGCACTGCCGATGCCGAGGCAGAGGACCAGAACACTGCGATGGCGATCGACACAGACAACGCCGCTTGGCACAAGAAGCGCGCAGGGGCAAGCCCGAAGCGCGCCCCCCCGCCGGATGGGGATTTGCTCCCGTCGCAGGCGAGGCAGCGGACAGACGCCTAGTTTCCAGACCTTCTTTTTGCATGCCGAGAAGAATTCGCAACAGAGCTATGCGAACTATGCATGGTAACACCAACACCGAGTACCCTTTTTCTATGGCGGTTTCCAATATCACGGGGGTTCACACGAAGCTTCCACGAGTTGCAATGCATGCTTTGTCAGGAATTCATGCCGTTACAGAGACCAAGGCGGATCGCATGACGCAAATTCGAATGGATCAGGAGCTGAACGCGCTCAACGAGATGAATGGTCCTCGCAAACACGTGCAAGTTCTGTGGGGAGAGCCAGTGGGCGAGACGCGCAGTGGAGGCATTGCTTTGTTTTTGGGACCTGGAGCTGTTGGCCGCGCCATGCGGCTTACTGGCGGTGGACCCAAAGCTGCTGAGTGGAGGTCCAAGTGTAGGCTTGAAGCTTATAAGATCACCCTTCAGTCTGGCAAGCGCTCTTCCAATGACATCGGACTTGTTTTTCTGCATGTTTTCGTCGTGTATGGAGTTTACGGTGACGCAGCAGCCACGAATTCCATTTTGGAGGCAGTAGCAGAATGGACCCAAACACTTGGGGACCAGATGCCTATCTTCATCGTTGGCGATTTCAATGCTGAAACGAGTGAGCTACCACAGTGCATCCGGTGGGAGGACACGGGATCTTTCTTTGATGCTCATCGGTTTGCCCATGAGCATTTCGGGCGACCCATTGGGCCTACTACTCAGGCCAGGCGCATTGATATGATATGGATGAACGAAGTCGCGCTGTTGTCTTTTGCTGACTTTGCAACGACGGGGGACTTTGCCACACACCAATCCTTGCATGTTCAGCTCGAGCTGCACGCCTTTTCGCAGCCTCGTCATCGAAGGCACTTGCCGCGCCCACTGCCTCTGCCGGAAACTGTGTGCCAGGCCTCTCCAGCGGAACTTTCTTTTCGTGCAGACGCTTGGTTGCAGCACAGGCAGACGTTACACAAGTCCACTTCGAGTTCGCAGAAGGCCCAGCATTTAGATGCTCTGGCTGAGATCTGGTCTGAGCGCGCTGAGCGGCATCTGGTTCGCGCTGCGGGCTTCATATGGCATGATCGATTTCGTCAGCGTGGCACGGTGCAGAAGGTGATGCAGACTTTTGCCACGCCACAGGTACGACGACATGATCTGGACCACTTTTTGGTGCCCCGACATGATGCCACACTTCACCGTTTAGAGCATGCAAGACGGCGTGTTCGTGCTTTAGACAAGATGCCACACCCGGGCCCGCAGAAGCATGCGACTTGGGAGGCAGCTCGACGTGACTTGCAGTGGCTCCAGTCGCGCATGGGTGATGATCTATTTCTGGACACACGGTTGCCTACTGCTGATGCTCTACGCTTTTACGCTCAGTGGCTCGATAAGCAGGCGGCCATCTTGCATTCCAGAGCTCATACCCAAGCTACCCGGAGGGCCCGTGACCGGCGACGCCAGCATGCTACAAGATATGTCACCAAGTCTTTCCAGCAACGCGCCACACATGTCAATGGGTCTTGCGACACAATGCAAGTTGATCAGCAGGTGAGGCAATTTTGGACAGATGTCTGGACACCCACGACAGATTGCAATCAGGGCTTGCAGACAGCTTTGCTTTCTTTGCCTTTGCCACGCTATGAAGTGGAGCTTCCGCCGTTGCAGCCCTCAGATTTGCGTCGCTATCTATCCAAGACCAAAGGTGTTGCTGGCCCTTGTGGCTGGCGCCACACCGAGTTGCGCATGTTGCCGGACACCCTTTTACAGCAGTTGATTGACATTTTCATGTTGATGGAGCAGCACGGAACCACACTGACTGTCAACTGCCAAGGGGATATTTCTCTGATTCCTAAGAAGGCCAACTGCTTTGACATCGACGCTCTACGTCCCATCACTGTTTTGAGCTACTTGCACAGAATGTATGCAGGAGCCAGGCTGCGTGCAGGGTTGCTACAGTGGCAAGAGGCTGTGTTGGGGGAGCTTCCGTTGCGAGCAAACCGCCCAGGCCAGCGGACTCATGACCTGACGCTCACTGCAGGCGTGACGCTGGAACACATGAGACACCAACAGCAGTCTACCTTCGCGGTTTCTTATGATCTTCGCAAAGCTTTTGATTCCATGCCTTTTCATGCAGACAATGTCAATGGCTTTGGCTGGATGGTCCTCAAGCGTCTTGGGTTCGATGCGCGAGTTACAGCAGTCATGTTTGATCAGTACCGGCGCTTGCAGCGCAGATTCAAGACTTTGCAGCATCTTGGACAGCCTGTTACAGCCGCTGGTCTGCGTGGCATCGTTCAGGGTTGTGCCATCAGCATGATCTTTTGTAATTGCATCACGATAGTCTGGGCAGTTCTTCAGCGTTCTGGTCTTCGACTACCTCGTGCGTTGCAGTTGCAGGTTACCTCGCATCCGTCGTGGCCTTGCGATCAGCCCTTTGAGCATGTTGCCATTGAGCTGGGGCAGCCTGACACGACTACTTTGCAGGGCGGGTATGCTGATGATCTACACCTGATTTCTAGCTCCGCTACACTGTTCAAGCGCGCACATGTTCTCACTGTGTTGTGGGCCATCACTTGCGATGTTCAGCTAAATGCACGCAAGACTGTTGTGTTCGGTGC